GTGTGTTCCTCCTCCACACCACCTTCTCCGTATGCTGAGCTTCGTCCACACCCCGACATTAGATACGGTGAGATCGGGAAACGCCAGGTCGTCGAACAAGCGTTGTCGTAGTCGTCGTTGCGCAACCGATCTACCTGACACTCGCCATGAGTGGGGGTCTTCGCGTAATTTCCTAGCCGGCCCGATTCTGCGTTTTCGATTGACAGAGGAGATCCGATTTCCGTACGACACACCGCATCCTGTTGCGCCATCGATCTTGCATTTTTAGACGTATGGGAGACATTGTTGCGAACGATTCGACGACGAAGCCACGGGATGCTGTATTTCGATTCTCAGGCTGGGTCGTGGTGTTCGAGTTTGGGATTCGATCGCGGGAGTATCGAGGCTGGTGCACGTGGAGGGTTGTGGTCTCGTTTTGGAGGAGATTCTTATGGTTCGTACGTTGACAACTGGTGGAGTTCATTTACCCCTATCGTAACGCGTTATAGTTATTGAATTTAGTTTATCTAAGGAATTGAGTAGATTGTAGGATAAGACGTTTTGATTTCGATCGGATGCTCGAAGTTAAAATGTAATGTTGATTATCGTCTAATGATAAGGAGGAAAATCTTTTCAAGATGAAAGTTCTATACACAGATTATTTATATAATTCAAGTAGGAAATCAAGGGAGGATAATTCCGAAAACCTTGTCGAAAAGTGCCAAACGCAGTTGATTAAATTTTCTTTTTACTTATTTTTAATCCTGCATTGCCCAAACACTTCTTCCAGGGAACAAAATTATTTCCCACGATTACTTACCTCAAAAATGGTCCCAATACATTCACCTCATCTGTATTTCCACGACAAAACACTTGAAAATATGATTTTCTAGTTTCGACGTTCAAAGGGTTAACTAAAAGTCAATACAAAATTGCCGTAAAAATTCAATCTATCCATCTTCCGTTAGACCCACTGAAACTGTTCTGTTCATCCATAATTAATCTCAAATTCAAAACATAATCTCCACAAATTTCCTTAAATTTCTACAATTCCTCCAGAGTGAACTGCCCGAAAAACGTGTTTCAGAGATCCGAAACTTCCCCATCTGTATAAAAAACCCTCGATCAGACCGATACGTTCCCATTACATCCCCAATCAGAATCTGCATGTTTCCGCGGGACGATCGTTCACGCAACGGAGTCAAGGACCTCCCCGAGGAGGGATTACACCGTTCGATATGAACGATTCTTCATCCCCCATCGAGAGAGCCAGTTTCACCCTCGAAAGAATTCTTGGTTCACCTGACGCGGTGATCCTCACGAACAAGGACCGTTCGCTCGGATCCATTCGTCATTTACCGGGTCGGACGTACCTAATCTCTGGAGGATCTCCCGAGATTACACTTTGGCATATCATTTGCCTGAACGAACGACCGGCTCTGCCCGCGTTGACGGGCAATATGTCCCTCTACATGACTGCGCCGAGCGGCGGCGATCTAGCCTAGACGAACAGATTCGCAAGGCCAAATGGGGACGCAACGCTGCTAGGATCGTGGTGGACTTGTGGTGTCCCGTGGCTTCCATTGGAGGGTCGATCTTGCGCGCCCAGAGACGGGCCAGGTCTCTCTGTGTAGTGGTGGCGGAATCGGCGGGGGCAGATGCAGATGAGCACGCTGCCGCTACGGGTGCATCGATCATTGGGCTAATGCGGCTGCATCCGTGCTCTTGGCTACCTAATCAGTAGCCTAGACGACCTCCTATCCTTCCTAATCCGTCGGGCAACCGCTACATTAATCTCGTTTGTCGTGGGGAGTAGCTCCCGAGGAGCGTTAGGTGTAAGTACTCCGTTTCAGTGGAATTTCGATCTTCGGTTTGGGCCGAATACTCGGAGATATTCGTGTTCATTCGCAGATACAGCGGCGGCCAACAGTTCCCGAATGGAACTGTAATTTTATCGGATCCTTGTCGTAACTTTTGTTAGGCCTGTAGTTGTTGGAAACGGGAGAATAGATGATTTTTATGCGAATAATTTTTTAATACCACCGATATGGTGTCCTCGATATGGGTAGATCGAGAGGGAATTTGAATTATATATTTTTAGACAGATGTGTTGAAAGAGTTGTTGGCTGGAAACTTTTGGCAATCACTTTATATTCGTCCACCTCTGTACGTGCGACATATTTTGCGTGTTTGAGTAATTTTTGAGTCAGGATTAACCATTGTTATTTAGAGTAGAATATACAATCTTAATTAGTGTATAGTCAAATGAGAAATTGTATGGAGTTTGTTCGAGAAGGTATCGTTATTTCTGAAAGTGCAAAGGGAAAAGATAGGGTTAATTTCATAAGGCTCTGAGGATATTTGATAAAGCATTAATATATTGTAAGTTAGTTTGTACGAAGTGAATGTTGACATCGGACAATAGTTTCCTGAAGGTTCTGATAAAAAATATTTTTTCATATAGACTGTGTATAATTTCTTAGCTGAATGCTTTTCATTTACTGTATATTGATCAAGGTTTTCGTTAATGCAAATTATAATTTGTATTTAAAACTTTAGTTGAAGGTATATTATAGAATAAATTACACCTATACATACGTGGTGGGCGGATACTGTAGCAAGTAACTGTCTTTACGCTTGGCTACGAGTTCTACATTCTCAGAACATACGCTGTTGCTTCAGAATACTAATTATTTTTTAGTCTAACCAAATAGACGCTCAATTTTCCCCCAATAATCCAGTAAACCAAGACAGAAATCATTGTCCGCGATTCCATCCGACGGACCGAAGGGTTTTCAATTGAAACCTCACAAAAAAACCGCCCCACGGCGGTGTTTTTCACCTCGACAAGAATTATTTTTCTGTTTGCCCTCGCGCAGCCCCGGGGATAATGGGTCTCCGATGAAAATCTCGTTCGCGGCGAAACGTTCGCGAACCGGCAGTAAAAAAAAAAACAAACAAAAAAAGACAAACAGCATCCAGCGAACGAATTTATCCCTCCGTTGGCCGTCCCTGCCTCGTCGGGAAGCATCGGGGAACGGTCGCAAAAACCGCGAGTTTCACGAGTGGCCCGCTGGAATTCGGGAACTATTCCGCAAAAGATTACCCCTCCCTTAACCGTATTACCGAGAACGTAGCGAACTGGAAGAGGAGCGGGGGTGGGCGGGGGGTGGGAGAAGAGCGACGATAACTTACGGGATCTGATGTAAATAGCACACTTACTTATTCGCCGGTGTCGCGCGGCACAAGTTAAAAATACGGAGGCCAAGGTGAAGGATGCTGGTAGGTGGAGGAAGGGAGAAAAGTGGCCGAGCCTCTGGAGAAAGAAAGAGACAGAGAGGAAGTGACTTTTTTGCGTAATGAAAGCAATCAATTCAAGTCCTCGGCTCTGGCGTCCTTTGGCAAGGGAGAATCGTGTGCTGTGCTCCAGCTTCTCCCTCTCCCTATCGTTTCTCTCGTTCTCTTACCTCGATTCGACTAAGGGAGGAAAAAACCCAGGGTAGGGGTAGTAACTCACTCTCGCCTCCGCGTACCACCCTCTTTCTCGCCACCCTAACAGTGGCCGGACCACTTTTGTAGTCATCATAAAATGCCCTGCTTTCAAGTTCCGACGATTGCTACTCTTTTCTTCTTTTTCTCATTTCCACTCTGTTTCTCTTCCTCACTCGCCGATTCTTTCTTTCTCTTGTTCCCATCCCTCTGACCTCCCGGCCCATCCCTGCCATTTCGCGAGGGTAGCTCGGCGGTGGGAAATAACGAAGTGGTGAGTTCAGGAGGAGCTAAGGGAGGGATAGGGGAAGAGAGGGGCACAGCCGAGTGGTGGAGCAGGTTAATCCTGAGTATTTTCTGTGTGCAGGGAGGGCGAAAGTACGGCAAAGGGGGGGGGGTGGATGGACCTCTTTAAAACAGCACTAAAGTATCGTTAATCTTGGAAGGAGAGGCTCTTACTTTCGCCGGGACAAACTAGTTAGACACATCCCACTTGATACAAAAATAAATTGCGAGCCCCCGTGATTCGTCTCGTCCGCCACTGGCTGGAACGCTTGCCCCACACCCCCTGCTCCAAGCCACTTTCCATTATCGAGTGATGATCTTTCTCGACTGAAGACTCCGTCGACGATTCGTTAGTTGTCGAGGATTGTCCGTGAATTGGACCATCTTCGTGAATTTTCGCTTGTATTTAGAACTATTGTATGCTACACGAGGTTTGACTAAAAACTTCCCAGACCTTTTATTTATTTCAAAAAATATTTATTTAACCATCAATATTGATATGGGTCAAATTCTGAATTCAAATCAAAATTCTGGCTATTTTTCGATCAAACCTCGTATAGTATGGTAAATCGCTACAAGTTCGCAGATTCGAATTGTTCCATAGGATTCCACCCATTGTCCTTTCTACCGTTCCAAGAACATCGTCCGCGAAAATCAAATGGAACGTGCGTGTACGCGTACTTAACGAGTTCTCCACCGTCGTGAAAAACACGCGATATATCTGGCAAATGTTACGGGGGAATGGGTTCTCCCGATGATAGACGAACACCCTGGCTACCCGCGGGAAATGCTAAATGTCAAGCAGACGACCCTACACCCGTCCCCAGGAGAGCTAAATGCCATACCTCGTAATATGATTACGTGTTTTCCGTCGTCCCCTTGTTTAGACACGATTATCATGTGCACGGGTACGAAACTTTGACGAATAGTCCGATTCCATCTCTCTTGTTCCGTCTCGGTCACGGAGGCTTAACAAGGATCGGTTGTTTAATTAAATCCGTACGATCAACCGGCGATCGTGTTCGATTAATCGCCGAAAGCGTGGGAATCGTATCGATATCATCGATGAAATCGGCTCTGGGGAAAAACGATTCGAGTAAGAAAACGTTAATGTCGAGCAAACAACCTGTCGATATTGTATTTCCAATATATGTGTAATCGGTGGTAGCGACCGATTTCACCGATTTTTGCTGACGATCCCAGGCATTGGGCAAGAACGATTACTCAAGACTGTATGGCGAACTTACTGTACACTATCAGCGGCGATTGAACGGCCCGATTCTTGCTTCCGCGATGGGAATGACAACCATTATTCCACACATCGATCACGTCCACTATCACAGACATGTCGCTGCCACCGTGAACAACGGCCACGTCACTATTATTACGAATAACAGAGAATATTTCGCGACGGTTGTCACCATTCGACGTCGCACTCAGAAAGATTTCTCGACAGACAGATTCTCGCAGCCGGCCGTTAATTAATTCCATCGAATGTGTCGTCGGATCACTAGTCTCGTACGTTACTGAATGGATCGTGGAATCGTGGATTTCAATGGTGTTTATTGTTTACGTTCGTGTCTTCTGAGCGACCGGGATCGAACATGAAAATTAAGATACATTTACGCGGTGATTTGATGTCATTCACGGTGACTTTGTAATCAAAGATATGGCGAGTGATGATATGAGAGAAATTTTGCGTGTATAATGATATGCATGGAGTGTGCCGTTGTAAATTTGCTGTTCCTTTGTTGTGGAAGTGTGGTATGGTTGTTTGGAATCGTTTCACGTTTAGTTAGATTAAAGCTCATTCTGCAAGAAGATAATTGGCACTTAGATCTAGAAAAGGATAGATTATATTTTCTAGAAAAGAGTGGTTCATTTTTATTTTAACTGGGATACACAAGGATTGGAAATTTTGAAAATTTGTGTGGGCAAGTAGGATGCACGAGAGACTAAAACAAAGTTGTTGTTAGAGGTGGTTACTTAGATAATTACACAGTCTTTTAAATAAATAAATGAACAGTCTCCTATGTAAATCCATCATTACACAAATTGATTTAGGGGAATCATTGTGTCCTTTAATATTTATAACTAAATCTCGATTTATCGGTTGGGATCGACGAATTTTTTTATTTAGTCATCACAGTAATTCTAACGACAAAAGTTCTTCCATGTAAATTTTCCGTACCACCGGATCTGCTAATGCCTCGACGATATTTTCCGAGGAAGCGTGCAGCTTCCTGGAATTTCCACCGGCGCGGCGGATATTCCGGAGATCCGTTGTATTAAGCATGAATAGCGTCGGGATAATGGCTGGAAGAAGGGTTATGCCACATACGAAACGAGGGAAGGGGGATCCACTCGAGTGGTTTGTCGTTTGTGGTGGGTGGAAAGCTCATGAAGTTCACCCTAAGTACAGAGGCACGTGGAGGTTGTCGGGATCTAGAGAGAGACTGAGAGGGAGGGAGAGAAGCGGTTTCAGAGAGCACGTGCTGTCGCGTGTCGGCGAGCCCTTGTGATCTATGTGCCGTCACCGCACCACCTACGTACATATATACATATATATATATATATGCATGGAAATTATTGCTACATCGGCCAAATATATCCCTCCTAATGTTCCATCGCGATACTCCAGTTCGGTGGGGCAGCGAGCTCCGGCCCCCGTTTCGATTTGCCAAAACATTTTAAAAGCTATCGATCGGGTGTTCCAGCTTAATACCCATAGTCATCCGACTCGAATAAAAATATTGACAGGACGTGTACCGGCGGCTGCTCTGAATTGTTTCTATTGTCTTCTTTCGTGTGTCTTCGTTGTGAAGTTAATGTAGTTTGAAAAAAACAGGATGTGTGTTAGAGTACGTAGGAAATGAATGTTCGATTGATACACGGCCAAGTTCGCTATTGGCTGAATTTCGAAAGTTGTTTAATGGATTTTTGTATGACGAAGACTGGGCTTTGATGGATTCAGTTAAGTGTACTGGATTGAAATTGGTAATTATTTTTTTAACAGTAGTAGGAAAGGATATACATGTTTGTAAGTACCTGAAGAGCACTATTGTGTACCTCTATAGATATCTGATGAGCAGTAAATATTAAAGAATAGTGTCAGGTATAACGTGGTCCTGTGTAATAAAGATTTCCATTCTGAATGGGCTGAGTAGAGTGGGAATGAGTAGAATAGGAAGAAATCAAATGGGAATGAGTAGAATAGGAAGAAATCGAACGGGAATGAGTAGAATAGGAAAAAATAGAATGGGGATGAGTAGAATGCGAAGGAGTAGAGTAGGATTGAGTGGGATGTGAATGAGCTGAATAGGTATGAGTAGAAGGGGCATGTGTGGAATAGGATTAAGCCGAATGAGTAGAATGAGACTGAATAGAATGGGAATCAGTAGAATAGAAATGTCAAGAATGGACTTGGATACTATTCCGGGTATACGCGATTTTTACCCCGGTAGACTACGCTATCACCCGGCAGATTAATTATATTTGAGATGGAGTTGCCACAAGATTGATATGCAAATTTGGCTGGGGGATACAGGCGCGGGTTCTCGCCCCGGCAAGAAGACGCGGGTAGGATCTCTTTCAGCATCGGGAAGGTGGTGATGCGGTGGCGAATAAGGGTGGGCGGTTGTGCCTCGAGGGGGTTTCACCCGGGGGTTGGTGCATATTTCACGGTCGGTGGTCCCATCTCGCGGAGACAATCTGAACCAGCGCGGATACATCATCGCGTGACGCCACGTAATAACCTTCTGGGCCACAGCGAACGCCTTTCAAAACCCTCTTATTTATTCATCTCACCTCGCCCTTTCCCTCACTCTTTCTCACTCTTTCTGTCTCATCTTTTCATCCCCTGTACGGTAACCTTGGCGTTGCCACCATCTTCGCGGGGTTAAAAAAGATCCTGATGGGTCTAAGAACACGTTGATTAATGCTAGAACTACCAGCGTTTAATATACATTAAATTAAATTCTATAATACACAATACACATAATACGTTATAATATAAAATGTGTAACAAATTAAATGTCAACATAAATTCCGACAAAAGCAGTACTCCGTAATCCCAAAGCAAGAAATCTGCAATTTGCTGTGAGAATCTGTTAATAACCTTACCTAAAAACAATCACTGCAAATAACGTTAGAATTTGTGTTCCTCGACGTGGACTATAATCAGTTTCATTTGATTATTTACACAATGCCAGTAGATGTCATTGTTTTGGAAATTGCCCTTGTTATCCAGTAACAATCCACGGGGGGAAAACAGATGCGCCAGTGATTCGTCCGTTGGCACGAATAATTACCAGCAGTCCACTCGAGCAAGAAAGCATCGATCAGTCGGATGCCTGGGCCCCCGACGTTCTTCCAGGCATTCCTCGAATAGCGTCTAATCCATCAGTGAATTCTCGTATCGCTTACCGCGCCGCTGTTTTTTTTTCCCTACCTCCCCCGTGACATCCTCGCGACGCTTCGTCGCCAGATGTTGTGTAAGTGCGTCGACGAAGGATCTCACGGTGAAAACGAGCAGCAGAAATCGGGACCGGGACTACTTTTCACCCTCAACCGTGTCGCGATTCTCGGAAGTCGCCGGTTCGAGATTTTAACTTGTTTGGCGATTCCCGTGAAATCAGTAGATCCATACTTTGCTTGTAGTATAAACGTGGCCTAAACATGTTTTAGAGAATCTTTCAGCAGAACTTATCGAAGATAAATGAATGGTTCCTAAGCATTGTATATGAGGGTAGATGAAGAGATCGTAGGGGGTGATAATTGTCATTAGTTATTTGATACTGAAATGATAGGAAATGCAGCTAGAGGGAATAGTGTAGGTGTATAAAGAGTGTGGTAGTGGGAAGTAAGTAAATATGAGAGTATACAGGTCTATCTAACATGTTTTGTACACCTGCTCTCTGAAGCTAGAGAAGGACAGAGAATGAAAGGAATTTAGAACGTCGCAATAATGGTCGATCGGATTACAAATTCTTGTAACGGGTTCGATACTACCAACACTTTAAGTGTAATTGTAGGGTCTGGCCACCTCTATCTGATATGAACAATGTCATAAATAATTATGTAAAATAAAGAATCAGTCCACTTTGATTCCCAGAGACAGTTTACATTACATCTAAATAGAATAACCACTATTACTGGTATAACTGTCAACAAATAAACCGAAAGTGTAAAATAAAGTCTCCAGACATAGATCACTATGTTCGAAAACAGTTTTCGTAAAAAATTTCAGGCACCCATCTGTAGCGATCTTAAGTAGAAACAGTGCACAGTCGACAGACGGCGCCAGCCAATAGTATCTACCGTCACGAGTACCTTAACCATTGACTCGAAAATTAAGCCTAATTATTCGACTTATTTTCCCACACATCAGTCACTTAGCCCACGACCATACCACTGTATCATCCACAGAATCAAATAACAATGGTCTTCTGTCAATATACACTCGCAACGATCGCGAGAATCGAGATCGACAAACGGGTCCGCGGTTACAACTCCGGGATTAATGGGATAGGAAGGATGGTATTTCTGTTGCGGAGAAATATCGCCGTTGCCGGGGCTCGGCCCTGGCCGTTAAGATAATAATAATCTTACGAGTGCGAATCCTTCCGCCACGAGAGACGGGGGGACACGCGTACGGCGGCGACGGCGGCGGGGCGAGCTTTCGTGTCGACACACGTACTTGACTCTTCTCGTGTAACGCGGCCGGCAGAAAGGCTATTTGTCGGATGACAAACGAGCGTCGGGCTACGTGGGTGGCTTCGCCGGTCGCGGGAAATGGTGAGCAGCGCCCCGTGTCGCCGCCTCGCGCTGCTTTCGTGTCGTTCGGTTTTCAGGATCGTTGTTCGGATGCGAGCTGAATCCGAACGCGGCTTCGGGACAGGGGACAATCCCGTAAAACTCGAACCTGTGTATGTTCCGCTGGATTGGAGATGATATCTGGACCAGATCCCGGATTTATTTCGCGGTGATCATGAGCGTAGCCAGTTGATCAGTCAGGGGGGTGGGGGGCAAAAATATTAACACATTGACTGCCACAGTGAAAAAGGCTGTACGTAGTCAGACACGCTTTATTTCCTTTTTAACCCTTAACTGCTGTCATTCGGTCAATTTGACAATACCGCTATTTAAATTTAAAAAACGCGGTTAATTTTATAGTTGTGAATTCATGCGCCAGTGTATTTTCTCATATTCTGAATGTCAGTCGACTGGTAGACGCGCTATTGTGTAGTCGTGCTACTTATCAAGACATCTAATTGCCGAAACCTAAGACTTGTTAGTTGTGTCTTGCAAAAAAAGAAAATAACTTGCCATAAACCTGTGTCCTCACAATGCTAGAAAATTGTACTATAGGTCAAAGTGACTCTGCATTCGTCTGCCATATCCGTCCCAGACCATCCGCCTTCCGAGGGGTTAAAGACGGCGAACCAACGGAAATTCGAATTCGT